AAAAAAAAAAAAAAATCATCACCAACCCAAATCATTGTGAGATTTTGGAAAATTTGGAGAAAAAAATTAGAAGGAGAAAAAAAAAGATCTACAAGCTTGTAGAAAGGCAAAAACAAGTTTCATATAAACTATCAACTATCAAAATAACATCAGATTTCTCAAGGTCAACTATGGAAGTTACTACAATGGAGCAATGCCTTTAAGTCTAAGGAAAACTTAGATGTTTTCAAATTACAATTCTATATTCAAACTATTAAGTATAAGAGTAAGATGTTTTCTATATTAGAGACTTCAAAAACTTTACCTCCTATCCAGTCCTTCTCATGAAGCTTGTGGAGCACACACTCCATCAACCAAGAAAGAGGAAGTATGAGATCCAGAACAGAGATTCTAATACAGAAAAGAGTAAATAGAACTTCTAGGATAAAAATAAAAGCAGATCATAAACCAATCTATAATAACATAGGTCAAAAAGCTCCAGGAGAGACTTCTGACCTCTGCAACATGATGCTGATGAAATTCTAATGTGTTTGAACACACTTGGAAAAGAATTTGAAGATAAATTAGTTATGCAAACAAAAATAAAAAGAAAGAAAATGAAGGAAGACAATTATTAACTCTAGGAAAGACAAAAAACCAAGCAAGGAAGGAAAAAGAAAACAGAACACTATGTGGCTCAGCTGTGACTACAATTAAATATCTATAATAATGCTAATGCTGGATATCAATCTTGACAAAACTATACTGTAACTGTGTGTGTATGTAATGGAACACAAGGGGAAAGAGAGGAAAATCCTCATCTTCCACAGTGGGAAGTCAGTAGAAGAGTGGAAGACAGAAAAATTAAAAAGCAGCAATATAAGCATATTACTAAAGAAATGAAGGTAAGTATCAAAAGAATCATCTAAAACAAAGGTCCCCAATCCTTTTAGGCACCAGAGACTGTTTTCATGGAAGTCAAAGGGGAGAGAGGCGGGTGGTTTCAGGATGAATCAAGTACATTACATTTATTGTGCAGTCAAACCTCTCTGCTAATGATAATCTGTACTTGCAAACCACTCCCCAGCACTAGCATCACCGCCTCAGCTCCACCTCTGATCAGGCATTAGATTCTCATAAAGAGCACCCAATCTAGATCCCTCACATGCACAGTTTACAGTCGGGTTCACGTTCCTGAGAATCTAATGCTGCCGCTAATCTGACAGGAGGTGGAGCTTATGCAGTGATGTGAGCAATGGGGAGTGGGTGTAAATACAGATGAAGCTTTGTTGGCTTAATCCCTCACCCCCTCTCCCTCATCTCCTGCTGTGCCACCCAGTTCCTAACAGGCCACCGACCTGGGGGGTTTAGGGAGGGTTGGGGGCCGCAGATCTATAAGAATTACAAGTTTTCTTGGGAGTGCAGACAATAGGGGTAGGGGTGAAGAATTGCAGGGCTACTAGTATTTGTAACAAGATTTGTAGAACTGTTTGATTTTCTAAACAAACAGTTTAGATAAAAACAAATTGTAATGCTGATAAAAACAAAAAAGACCACTTACCAATATACTTTTCTTGCTTTCTGAATAGAGGTAACGGTTTGAACTTCTTTTAATGTCTGCTTTGTTTTCTTTTCTGCTGATTTGAATGCCTATTTATAAGAAGAGTTTTAAAACTAAATGGTTAAGAGTTTACTTAAGTACCACCAAAGTAAGTCATGGGACAAGAAATAGTTTTTAAAAGTCACAAAATGGCACTATCTATACACACAAACATCCATACTTGAAAGTAATAAAGAAATAAAAATATTTTGCCTTAAATATTAAAATAAGTCAAAGATTTGCTGTGTGCAAATATTTATTCAAGAACTGCAAATTAAGAAATGCCTTGTTCATTGACTAGATACTGAATGCCTATCATGTACCAGATTCTAGGCTATATACTGGAAATTACAATAGTGAACAAGATGGATAAAGTCTCCCCCTTGCCACCCCACTGGGGTGTAGTAGCAGAGACAACTATTAAACATATAATCATTCAAATAAACATATGGCAGGTGCTTCTAAAGATGCTATAAGAGTATAACAAAGGAACCCAATTTATGCTGGATTATGGTCAAAGAAGGTATCTCTGAGGAGATGGCATTTAAGCTGAAGCCTAAAGGACTAATGGAGTTATCGGGCAAAGAATAGGAAGAAAGGTATTAAAAGCAGAAAGAAAAGACCAGAAAGTAGTGATCATAGACCAAAATGTCAAGAACTGAGGTTGGAGGCCAAAGAGGCTCATACTTATAATCCTGGAACTCTGGGAGGCCAAGGCAGAAGGACTGCTTGAGGCTAGGAGTTTCACTGAGCAAAAGTGAGACCCTGTCTCTACAAAAAATAGAAAAAATTAGCCAGGTGTAGTGGCATGCACCTGTAGTCCCAGCTACTCAGGGAGGCTGAGGCAGAAGAATTGCTTGAGCCTAGGAGTTTGAGGTTGCAGTGAGCTGTGATCACACCACTGCACTCTAGCTGGGGTGACAGGGTGGGATTCTTTCTTTCTCAGAAAAAAAAAAAAAGAAAGACATGAGGTTGGAACAGTAGATAAAGGGCCAAGTCATGAAGGCCACTCATTTAACAGATATTAAAGAGCCTACTTTGTTCCAGGCAAAATTCCAGGGACTGGGAAGCAGTGATGAAGAAAACAGACTAAGATCCATCTTTCACGCAATCGACATTTTATAGGGGAGAGACAAATAAATATCCAAGTAAATATGTCAGTTGGTGGGGTGCAGGTTTAAGAAGAAAAACAAACCAAAATAGAGAGAGTGACTGAGGGTGGTACTATTTTTAATAAGAGTGGTCAAGGAAGGATTCTCTGATAAAGTCTCCTTTAAGTCGACATGTGAATGAAGGAAGGGATCAAACCATGAAAATTTTGAGGGAAGAACATTCCAAGTAGAGAGCTGCAAGTGCAAAGACCCTGAGACAGTAAAATGTGTCATTATTTTATGAACATCTAAGATCCTAGTGTAGTCGGAAAGTGTGTGTGAGAAGAGGGATTCAGGTGATGAGTTCAGAGGGGAGCAGATCATGAGTAGGTCCTTGTATGCCAGGAGAGGGGTTCTGAATTGTATTAAGATGGGAAGTAACTGGAAGATTTTGAACAGAGGAGAGAAAGGACTTCACTTCTGACTTAAAAGGATCACAAAGGCTGCTACATGGAGAACAGACTGCAGTGGGTAAAGGGGAGAAGGAGAGAGATCCAGTAAGAGGTTACTGTTATAATCCATGTGAACACAGAGAAAATGGAGGCCTGACCAGTGGATACAATGAGAAACAGCCAGGTTCTGGTTGTACTTTAAAAGAGGGAGAAGCAGGTTTGGGGACGAAAGTAAAAACTGGAAATACACAAATTTAAAGCAAAATTAAGTTTGAAAGATATTTCTGAATTAGAAAACCTCATTTAAACAGAAGACATAATTAAGGCCATTAAATTAAAGCAGGCAAAAACAATTAACATTCACGCTAAGAAATATTAAGTACCTTCTCAGCAGCTTCAACAGTCTTTTGTGTTTTCTTGGCAGCATATCTCTTGTGATCATAATACCTAGAAAAACATATTCCTCTTAAATTTTAAGTAAAATCTTTATTTTTTAGTTTTCTACTTCCAATTTTATAGATTCTAAAATCATACAGAATAAATCATAACAAATTGTATAATGCACAAAAACTAAATTAAAGAAAACACTTTTATCCAAAAGAAGTCAACATATAATACAGGTGAAATAATTTTTTCTTAACATCCATAGTAACCTCATTTATCATAGATAATATTTTACCTGAAATTTAAACTTAAATGACTTACTTTTTGGCATTGGCATATGCTGACAAGCTGAGATCAACATCAACAAGTAATGGCTTATTTTTCTGAGGCTTCTGCAGCTGTTTATTCTTTTGCTTTTTCTTTTTCCCTTTTGATGGTTCGGTTTCGTTTTTCTCAACACTGATGTCACCATCAACATCGTCATCTTCCTCCTCTGATAACAAGTATGGATTTCTATTAAAAATATTCAATAGTATTTCACTAATGTCAATGACATCACTTTTTTACTTTCAATTTCTTTTCCTCAACAAAATTACAAACGGTTTACAGTATTTAAACAGTTTCATTATTTATATTTTAATCTAATTTTCTTCTATTTCTTTGAGAATAAATTTCCGAATAAAGATAAAATTTTTTTTAATGAATACAGTGAACAGTTAAGTAACAAAATAAACACAAGCATTAACTGCTTAACTAAGAATCAGACTTACCTTAGCAGCATCGTGACATGATTCGTTTGTAGTTTTAATTCTTTGATTGCACTTGCAACAGGGTCTCCTTGGGCTTGGGCTTCTTTCACAATTAACCCGATTTCTGTCCAATCTATCTGGTTTGCTAAAGCACTTCGAACTACCTGAATGGCTCTGTCAACTATTTGTAGGTTCATTTCTATGAGTTCTCCTTTCAGTTTGTCTATTTCCTTAAGAAGCAAACCAAACACATTTACTATAATGCCACTTAAAGGCTAACATTTTTGAAAAAGCATCTGAAAAATCTAAACATAATACCTGAGCCTGTTGAAGAGCTTCTAATCTGTTTTCGTGATCCTTTCGGACATTATCTAATTTCTTCAATGCTTGTTTTTCCTTTTATTGACAAAACAGATTTTTTGAAAATTAGATTTCTCCTACCTCGTGGCACTTCTCTTTTACTTCCTGAAACTCACTATGCTGACCGCAACTCTGCCCGCTCAGTGTTGTTATCTAGCTAGCTAAAGTTCCCCATAGTTCACTCTCCAAGGCCTATCCCGCTCCAAAATTACATCTCTTGCACACCTAACTCCCATTTCCTATATAGAAAGGTTTCTTGATTATAGGTTACGCTGTATGTAAGATATGCCCCTAATGTGCTTGGCATAGTTCACGCAGGCAGAATTCAAGACATCTTTCCCATGGCATGAAAGTAAAGTTTGGGGCCGGATGCAGTGGCTCATGCCTGTAATCCCAGCACTTTGGGAGGCTAGGGCAGGAAGATTGCTTGAGACCAGCCTGAGCAACATAGCAAGATCCCATCTCCACAAAAAATAAAAAATTGGCCAGGTGTGGAGGTGCATGCCTGTAGTCCTAGCTACTCAGAAGGCTGAGGTGGAAGGATTGCTTGAGCCTAGGAGTTTGAAGTTGCTGTGAGCTATGGTGATGACACTGCACTTTAACCTGGGCAACAGAGCAAGATCCTATCTCCATAAAAAGTAAAGTTTGGGGGAATGAATTCTTAAAGAGCATAAACTACCAAACAGCTTTTTATTTTATTGCCACTCTTAATTTTCTCAGCACCATTCTACTATTTTACAGAGCATTTTTCTCCTAAATTAATAATACAAAAGCTCATAGTAGTATTTAACCTTCTATGTAATATTTTTATCATATGGTATTTACATGTCAAGGTTATCAATTTTGGGACAAATTTTCTAACACTAGTAACAGCAACTCCAATTAATGAGCATTTAAATGCTAGATGAAACATTTAGAAGATTTAAATTATAGGAATGGTGACTATTAAAAGAACCAACAATAATTACCAAAATTAATTACTGGTCTTTTGACACTCATAAAAACATGGGGTTCAGTGCTACTGTTAAGTTATCTGTTTACTAGCCAAAGTGCTGCCACCATGTGGTAATCACATTAATATAATTCTTTGATCTACCTGCTTTCAAATTGTGGTATGATTAACTAATTTTTTAAAACTGAAGGGGAGAGGGTACAGGAATTAACATAATTAGACATTTTTGCACACACATTTTAAGACTTTATTAATATTTTTGAAAAAAAAAATCCTGTTCAAATTAAACTGTTCTACAGCAAATGCTCTAAAAATAGTCAAATGTGCTAGAAAAATACTGCATATTAAATTTGGAGTCATGATAAACAGAAAACATATTAAAGACCTACTTTTAAAGTCCAGTTTTAAAAAAACAGGTTAATGATAAACAATTGCCCCTCCTTTGGCCTATTTAAAATCACCCTAGAATAGTGTTCCCTTAACAGCAAAGTTTGAGAAGCTCTGGATTGTTTTAACAAAGCAAATCATACTGGGTACCGGCCTCACCTTCCCACTTTATTTCCCTTTTTAGAGAATATCTGACATACTGATGAAACAAAGAAGGATATACTTTCAACAATGACACCTCCCCTGGACCTTTATCATAAATCAAGAGAAGAGAGGCCGGGCATAGTGGCTCATGCCTATAATCCCAGCACTTTGGGAGGCCCAGGAGTTTGAGACCAGCCTGAGCAAGATAGTGAGACTTCATCTCAAAAAAAAAAAAAAAAAGATCAGAGAGTTCCCACACTACTTTCTACATTACATTATTTCTGAAAGGCTGCCCATTCCTATATAAAAGCATCATCTACTCATCAAACCACTATAAGACTACTTGGTTTAATGTAAGTGTCTTTAATAATACTGTACCTGTTGTAAAGCTTTTAAATCAATTTTCTGTCCTTCTATCTTGGAATAAAATTCATCCACGGCCTTATTAAAAAAACAGACAAACAACTAGCTGAAAAAAAGGGCATAGTCTCTACTTCAACTTGCATACACAGAATTTTAGAGTCTATTTTGTTTCATAACACCACTCAAAGAACTTGAACAGATTCCAATAAGTATATTATACAGGTAAACAATACCAAGAATCAAATTAAGTTCAAATCTTTGGTCCTTTACTTTGAAATAAAGTGGCAACAATTGTTTCCAACAGCTGTAGTTGTATCTGCATTGATGGAAAAGGAAGGGAGGAGGGGGAGAAAGGGATGAAGGTAGGGGTCAGAAAGAGAGACATAAATGGACTAAAGACCAAGTGGGAGGGGGAAAGGAGAGCAGAAAAAGGGATAGAGAGGAAAGTGGAGAGAGGGAGAGGAAGGGAAGAAAATGCACATGTAGGCATGCCCTCTGCATTTATCTTTAATGCCCAGGCTCACAGTGATTGTAAAGCAAGAATATTTTTAATTTCTCAATCGAAGCAATTGATATTAACTTAACAACTCGTATCATGCTAACTAAATGGCCAAAGAACAGAATTGGAAAACCTACCTTGTCAAATGATTCAAATTCTATATATGGACATTGTGAATGTTGAGAAAATAAGAAAGGATGAAATTCCTCATACCTGTAAAATACATTTATTATATCACATTCAAGAGCATTAATAAACATCCAAAGCAAATTGATCCACGCCTACATGCTTACGTGAGTATGTCTTCAACTGGTTTATCTATTTCCAGGCTTGGTTTTATTTCTCTTTTCTGAATGATATATCCCTACAAAAATCCAACATGAAAATCATTTCTAGTCATAATTTGTAAAGATTTACTTTCCATGACTGATATTAATTTTAAGTTTTTGTAAGTAAAGTTACACTTTGAATAGGGAAGAAAAACACTGATAAGGCATGAGATAAATAACTATTAGAGGGCAGTAAATCACAAAACTTTGGAAAAGTGCTGGCAAATGAAAATGTGATTCTCTATCTAAAATCAACTCAAGAAGAAATATTTTCAAATTCCTCAACTTTTCTGGAGTGCCTATACCAACTGCAAATTGAAAATAAACTACCCCAGAATAAGCATATTACAAACAACAATTTTCCAAATTAGAATCACAAAATTTACATATATTGATCCTTTCGTGAACATTTAATTTCTGAAAATCCAAACAAATAAAACCGCAACACTATATAATAAGTATACATAGTGCTACCTTCCCATTGAAGTTGGATGTTGTTTTCATATAGTCTTCTGCTTTCTGCAGACAAACAAGTACTTTTTCAATATCTAATGGGTGAATAAAAAAAAAAGGAGTGTTGATCAAGTGTCAATTAATCACGGTTAAATAACTATATAGAAAATAGAAAAGTGCTTATGAAATAATATAAAGTGTTCAAGAAAATTAGACACAGTTATTTCATGTTTGTAATCGATATATGTAAATAAGGTCATGTTTCAGCCAGCCTGTCGTCCCAGTAGCTTTTACTGAATCACCCATCTTTCCCTCCATGATCTGAAAGGCATTTTGTTCATAACTAAATTTCCATATATATTTGGGCCTGTTCCTGGATTCTTCATGCTATTTATTCCTTTTCCAAAAACTTACAGTCTGAATTACTATAGCTTCATAATATATTTTAATCTATGGAAAGATTACACAGATAGTAATAAATAGTAATGAGTCATTACTATTATTTTCTAGAGTTTCCTTAACATTTTCAGGAATGTTCAATGATGCTTTCATTCCAGATGAATATCAAATTCATTTTTAAAAACAAATAAAACAGCATCACCACCACCTGTTTTCATTTTGATTAGGATTGTACTGAATTAGCATATTTTAGAAACTAAAACAATCACTAAAACATTCAATTTCTTTTTTAAACACACAAAAAAATTTACAGCATGAAAGTTATCCCTAAACGTTAAGAAATGATATATAATCCCAAAATATAAACATTAAGAATGATTTTTTTTAAGTTGTACAAGATATTTTGCAGGTCAAAATTTGTCAAAGATCAAATCTTACATTTTCCTTGTATTTCCTCTACTTTTTTATTATCCTAATCTGGCAGTTAAGTAGTTACAAAAGCCTAGTCCATCATAAACCGCACATTACTATAGAAAGTAAAATGCATGAATAATGCTACTTCCAGAAGCACTCCAGGTTCTGAGGCAGAAGGGTAATAATTCAACTCCTTGCAACCCTAACTGTCTCAAGGTCAGCTTCCAATCATTCCAAAAATTTAGGGAGTGGGAAAGGAGAATATTCCTCAAAGGTAACAAGGTAGGTCAAGAGATTGAACTGTACATTACTAAGAATAAAGCTCCCTAATAATTAGAGTAGGAAGCCAGCAAGGAATACCCATATGCATAGGACACTTAGAGAGCAAATGTTTTTTAAGTCTAGAACTACCTGCTCACTTACTACTTTCCCAGAAATAATTTTGAGAGTCTTTTAAAAAGGAAATAAATGAAAATGAACAAAACTTGTATCATACAGACATACCTTTACTTTCAAGTTTTTCATCCACTTTGACATTACCAGAGAATCCATTTTCTATAAGACAGTGTTCGATGAGAGCTGGTCCATAGGCTACAAAAGCAGAGGGTATTATATTTAGTATTTTCCTATAAAATTTAACATTCAAATTATAGAACAAATTTATATCCCAACATAAAAACAACAGCAATCAGTGAAAATAATAATATGTTTATTTTGAAATATTGTTAGAAATGACAATTTCAATACTTACAGAAATTGGAAATTACAATCAAATCACAGAAATCAGTGTAAGTTACAAGAATTTAATGGAAGTCAGCCACATATAAAAGGGATTATAAAACCATGACCAGGGAAGATTTATCCCTGGAATGCAAGGTAGGTTTAGCATCCAAAAAACTGGTTACTCTAATATACCATGTTAATCAAATAAAGGACAAAAGCAACATATAATTTCAATAGATGCGGAAAAAGTATTTGACAAAATTCCTTAAAAAAAAAAAAAACCTAGGAATAAACTAGGAATAAAAGGGAGCACTCCCAACCTGATAAAAGGCACCTGTGAAAAACCTATAGTAACATCATACTTAACACACTGACTGCCGCACTAGAAAAAAAAACTTTTTCCTTGGGGCCATGGTGTTTTATTATGAAAATAGAATAAAAACTTCAAAAACAAAATGATCCTTTCTAATTTAATGAAAAATTTGTTATTTTTTATTGTTTTCTGTGCGTGAGTTATAGGCAACTTGAAAAATAGTTCTCTCGGCTCCCAAGGTGAAGAGACGTATGAGTTACATATGCTTCACGAGGCCCCGGGCTCAAAACTAGCACAAGTTAAATACAATGCACATGGCAGTTGATGTGTTAATGGTGAAAGACTGAACATTTTCCCACTAAGATCAGGACAAGGAAAGAATATTTACTCTCACCATTGCTATTCACCATGTACTGGAGGTTATAGCTAGCGCAATAGGCAAAAATAATTAATTAAATGCATTCAGATTCTAATGGAAGAAGTAAAGCATCATTATTCACAGAAGGCATGATCCTGTACATTAAAAAAATCCTAAGAAATCCACCAAAACAAACAAAAAACCCTACAAAACCTACTAGAATTAATAAACAAGTTTATCAGGTTTGCGGGATACAAAATCAATACATAAAGACAACTGTATTTCTACCCAAAAATGAAATTAAGAAAACAATTCTACTCCCAATAGCATCAAAAATAATAGAATGTTTAGGAATAAATATAAAAAAGGAAGTACAAGATTTATACAATGAAAATTTCAAAATATTGCTGAGAGAAATTAAATATCTAAATAAATGGTAAGATATTCTCTGTTCATAGAAGACTCAATTTAGGTAAAATGGCAATTCTCCCCAAATTGATCTACAGATTCAATGTAATTCTTATCAAAATCCCTGCAAGCTTTTTTTTGTAGAAAATAACAAGTCAATCCTAAACTTTATAAGGAAATGCAAAAGACCTAGAATAGTCAAAACCCTTCTAGAAAAAAAGAACAAAGTAAGAGGACATATACAAGTTGAGTATCCCTTATCTGAAATGCTTGGGACCAGAGTGTTTTGGATTTCCTATTTTTTCAGATTTTGGAGTATCTGCATATATGTAATGAGGTATCTCAGGGAGAGTACCCAAGTACCACAAAATTCACTTATGTTTCATATATACCTTATACACATAGCTTGAATGTAATTTTACACAATCTTTCTAATAATTTTGTGTACCCGTCACATGAGGTCAGTGTAGAAGTTTCCACTTGTGGCATTATGTCTGCACTCAAAAAGTTTCGGATTTTGGAGCATTTTGGATTTCAGATTTTCTGATTAGGGATACTCAACCTGCGCTACCTGATTTCAAAAAGTACAGAAATTTGTGAGACTTTGGCTTAATCTAAACTTGCAAATTTTACACACTCTATACTAACAGTTGGAAAGTTTTAAAGTTAACATTTAATGAATTCTGATTTCATAAGAGAGGAAAAATAACTCCCCAATGCTCAGTAATCCATACCTGCCTGCCTTTGTGTCTTTTCCAGATTTCTTAATATAGAGCTAAGTGATGATCTTCTCAAGTATAAAATTTTATTAAGATCAAAAAAGTTTACTGGGAACAAAAGGATGTGATAGATGCTGGGATGCTCTGAGACCTACCAATTTTAAAAAAACTAAGCTAAGTGGTTATTAAACCAAAGAATCAACTGAAAAAAAACTGATTCCACAGAATACTACAGCTAGCAACTGAAGTGCTAGATAACACACTCTGTATTGCTTTTAAATAAAATCTAACAGATAAAGTTCAAACTTCGTGTGGTATAGTAACTTCTAGTTCTTTGACAATAAGCTCCTACTTATTCAAAGGGTCACTTTAAACTCCTTGTTAAATTTTTTACCAGAACCATAAAAGATTTAAATATATTCCTAAACATCACATTATCTTGCAAACATTTCATTGCTCTATGTAGGATTACTCACGAAGTAATGGGTTAAGAACTCTCTTTAGCAGTTCGCCCTTAGGTGCATTTGCTATTATTTCAGTCAATCTGTAGAACAAAATTGACATACCTCTTAACTATCTTAATATTGAATAAACCTTCAAGCAATCTTCATGTTCACATTACTTTCATCTGCATCAATTTACCTGATCTTTGCAATAATCTGAACTATAACAGGAATTAGTTCTTTTTGTAGGTAAGAAAATGGATCATAAAAGTAATTTATCCAAGATTAGTAGGTTCTTGAATAGCAGACTGGGACCTGAATCTAGGTTTTCTAAGAGAAATCAGTGTTTTTCTAACTAAGTCATATTGCTTACCATCAATGTGCCCATGTATAAATGATATGAGAATATTTTTATATAAAAGTTAAAATGGGCTGGATAAGGTGGTGGCTCACGTCTAATTCTAGCACTTTGAGAGGCTGAGGAGAGAGGACTGCTTGAGGCCAGGAGTTCAAGACCAGCCTGAGCAAGACCCCGTCTCTACAAAAAATAGAAAAATTAGCCACGGTGTGCCTGTAGTCCCACCTACAAGGGAGGCTGAGGCAGGATTGCTTAAGCCCAGGAGTTTGAAGTTGCAGTGAACTATGATGACACCACTGCACTCTAGCCCGGGTGACAGAGTGAGACCCTGTCTCAAAAAAAAAAAAAAGAAAAAAGTTAAAATATTTGTGAATTTTCATGCCATATCTTAACAACAGAAATGGCTTTATCTAATTAAGCATTTAACAAGAACTCTTAAGGATGCTGTAGATCAATGTGGTCCTCACAGCAAAAGCAGCATTACCCAAAAACTTGTTAGAAACGAAAATTCCTGGGCCCTACACTAGATCTACTGAATTAGCACAGAGCGGGGGCAATCCATGGTTTAATAAGCCCTCCAGGTGATTCTGATACATGTTAATCTTTAAGAACTACTGCTGCCCACTATTAGTCAGCAGAGCCTCCCAGGCCAAAGAGTATAGCTACAGTCATCACTTTATCCCACCCTACTTCCCTTTTTCTTAGGTAAACAAGAATTTCTATCCCCCTTTGTGCTCTGCCCAAGATATCCATCTGTTCTCTCATTGAATAACTAATAAGTCCCTTCAATTTACCAAGAATCCCTAACCATCTGAAGTAACCCAACACTTAGCTTAAAAAGACACATATTTGCCACTTTCAGTTGAGATTTCATTCTTACACACACATTGATGTAGTTCAAGCAATCTAAATTTACTTATGTTATCCAAGTAAACAAAATAGTTTCTTATCTGACAGTTTTCATATTCTGACCTATTTTACCCTGTAATACAATATGAAATGAGTTTATAAACAAAACACATTACCTCTCCAAAGTAAGCAGAGGTTCGGCAGTTCTAGCATGATCAACTGGATAGCGTTCACGAACAGCAAATTTAACATCATCTGCCTCATCAGTTCGAAACCTTAGGATATTTAAAATTAGGTACTCATAATCTGTAAGAACAATGTTCCCCTGAAATAGAATAAAATACAATTTAATGCTTTTCCAAATCATTCTTGAAACATCTTAAAAATTGAGAAAGAATGTAATCTCTTAACCTAATCAAGATTACAGAAATGAAGTTATGAGAAGCACCAGCGTCACATCTAAACAACATTCCTTGCACTTGCCCAGCACAGACTACGAAATAAGATAAACAAATTCTAAAGACTCCAAGTTTGAAACATAGTGAAGGAATCTAGAGCAACTTTAAATCAATTGTCTGATGGTTTAGCAGAAGTTACTAATAGAAACACAGTAATCTACTAGCACCTTGATGACACCAGCTGAGCTTACTGTTACACTTGCAGGAGGCAGGTCTATCAACATTGGCTTATTAAGAGAAACAGAACAGATACATTTCAGAAGCCAAGCAAAAAGCTATTATATTTTCACCTGCAATTTGTCTTTTTTTTTTTTAAGACAGAGTCTCACTCTTTTGCCGGGGCTAGAGCGCCATGGCATCAGCCTAGCTCACAGCAACCTCAAACTCCTGGGCTCAAGCAATCCTCCTGCCTCAGCCTCCCGAGTAGCTGGGACTGCAGGCATGCGCCACCATGCCCGGGTAATTTTTTCTATATA